TTTTTGCGAAAACTATCATCCATCAGGATAGAGACTGTGTGGTTCGTGGGGAGGGTTCATTGGCAAAACGTCCTTGGAAAACGCCAGTCAGATAAGATTTCATCAGATATACGAAGATTCAAAGGAGCAGATCTACTTAATCTTGATCACCAAATCTTGTCAATCCAACGGCTCCAATGACGAGTGATCAACATATCTCTACTCCTAATGGAGCAGTTGGTAGTCTCGCTTCCAGGTTTTTTTTCGTCCCACCTCACCCGGTTTTTTTTGGTACTTCTTTGGTACTTCCTCCCACCTCCCACCCGTTTCATTTCGCTGGTTTTTTTCGTCCCTCCCCTACCCCACCGGTTTAGTTTCGCGTCACCCTCTCACACAACGAAAAAAATCTTAACGGATCATAACTTTCCATGCGTCACCCTCCCATCAATGCAATTTGATTTAGGAAACATATAATAAGTTTTAAGGAAACAAATAACAGACTTTAAAAAAAAATCCAATTTTAAGGAAACAAATCAATCGATCCATCCAAATCAAACGATCCATCTCATCAATGCAATTTGCTTTAGGAAACATATAATGGATGTGAAGGAAACAAATAATAGACTATCTAAATCAATCGATCCATCCCATCAATGCAATTTGATTTAGGAAACATATAATAAATTTTAAGGAAACAAATAACAGACTTTAAAAAAAATCCAATTTTAAGGAAACAAATCAATCGATCCATCCAAATCAAACGATCCATCTCATCAATGCAATTTGCTTTAGGAAACATATAATGGATGTGAAGGAAACAAATAATAGACTATCCAAATCAATCGATCCATCCCATCAATGCAATTTGATTTAGGAAACATATAATAAATTTTAAGAAAACAAATAACAGACTTTAAAGAAAAATCCAATTAACTAATCTCTACTCTTAAAGGCCCCTCGATTGATTTTTGTCTCTCGCTTCCTTTCCCAGCACTTATACAATGGAAGGAATTATAATTCACCTATTTGTTCTCCTATATATCCGTGCAGGCAACACAACATAAACCGGTGAAAAAAACACTCACCTCGCACGTCCCCCTGCCTGCAATCCCGAAACGCCGCCATCGCTCCAGGCTCCAGCCTCCGCCGTCCTACATCTTGCCCCTCTCCAACCTCAGAGACCTCCGCCACCGCCGCCATCTCGGAACCCCAGTTCAGGGCAGGACTCAGAGAGGGTGTGGCTGTGGACGACGCTGCCGCCGTCGCAGAACCCTAGGGCAGGGCGTGGTCGCGTTGCGGGCAGCGCGAGCGGCCGTGCGTCTCCCCCGTCAGGCTGTCCTCGGCAGGAACTCGGGACCTCCTCCTGACAGAGCTAAGGCCCTCCGAGGTCCAAGTCGCTGTGCGGCGTGCACAGTAATCTCCCCGGCCTACTCTGTCTTCACGTCAATGCTCATGTGCTCCGACCCTCCCCGACCCCTCCCAGCAAGCAGCAGAGTCTCTCGGGTTCGAGCTCCACCGGGCCGCCGGCGGCGGCGTCCATGTTCGTTGGGCGGAGCACAACGCTAGGTTTGAAATTCACCATGATGCTACTGATGAGGCTCTCCTTCTCCTTTGTTTCGTCTGGGTTTTTTCGTCCCCCCTCCCACCACCCCATCTCGTCTGGGTTTGAAATCAATAAGAGCAGCACAAAGTCTAGGTCCCTGTCTCGGTGGCAGACGGAAGGAGAAGAAGGATTGATATGTATGAGAATATTAATATTGAACTCTTAAAGTTAATGTGGCCCCGTTGCAACGCACGGGCGTTCTTCTAGTTTAACGTGTAATTAATAGTATGCTAAATATAAACTCCATGCCAATCACATGATTAACATGTAGTAATTGATATCCGGCCTAATATCAACGTGTAGTTAATTTACTCCCTAATATAAACGTACGTACACATTTGCCAGTATGAAATCGGAGGGGAAAGCTTATTTTCTCATAAAAATAGATATATCTATCTTTTTCATCTAATATAAATACATATATATCCATCCTACTCCCCATGCGTAGCTCAAGATACAGTGGCTAGCCAGGAGTGCGACCTTTCCAATTTTTTTCCCTACTTTCTATAGGAACGTGACATTTTATACTCCTACTACAAATATATAAATATGTTGACCAGTTGACCCGGAGATCAGCCGGGCCCACGGCACAGCCTCCGCGTCTCTCACCACACACACCCACAAGCGCTGGCAGGGGCGGCGTACCCGCTTGTGGGGGGCCCACCCCCAGAGGGCCCTTTCCCCCGAAATCCCATTTCCAAACGGCCCAAAAACACATTTCCCGTATTATAAAAATGGATTTCTCTGCCCT